AACTTTTATTTTATAATATCATTGTGGAAAAACTACAATAGCAGTGCTAACTTTTCTCAGCCCTTTAATTATAGAAGCAATATCTATTCTTTATTTCAAAATTCTCTTTGTTCCCTTTTCCCCAAAATGGCCTCCTCCTCACTACCCCACCCCCAACCAAAAAAAACCAATAAACCGAACCTTTCTATTTCACAGGACACCCATGATTTCACTTCTATGGTTGATTAAGTTACTGATTGTGAAAGATGGCATTCCACAATTGGTTATACTCCACACCAATAATACTCAAGGGGCCTTAAAGTTTATAGTATCACGTAGAAGTACCTGTTCATTGTGATGGGATATGATCTACTTTCAAATATCACCTCTAGGATATTATAGGTATTAGTCAAATGGCTTCAAATTGCAATATCTTCTCTTTGAATAATAAAAATTATAAAAATGTCACTAAGAAACTTCATTTCAGTTTGTCAGTATTTAATCTGTAATTGTTTTGGGGAATTGTTGCTTTGAAAGAAATTATCTTTTCAGACAATGCTTAACAGAAAGAGGACTTGTATGTCAAAATCTTACCCGTATTTTCATGCCTGTTGTCGGTCAAGGGGCAGGCTGTAAAACCTTGGTGATGCTGGATTGATTTGCACTCTGTTAACATGAAACTGTATTGCACAAACAGATTGTCATTCCAACTTTTAACACCACCAGACTATTAAACTTTTTTTTCCTCAAATAGAGTCATTGAGCTTTACTTATTCAATGAACTGTACATTTACAGTATTAAATAATAAAGAGTGAATTCACAATTTAGTTCCACATCAGCCATGGTCTGTAGACTGGAGTGAGATTTTAAGATATTTTGTATTGATGTTCAAGTGTTTTTTAGCCATAAACAATGGATTTCAGTTTTGTACTTGTGGTCCCAGATAAGTTTCAGGGCATCAGTAAAATACAGATGCAGTGCCACTGGCTATGGAAACCACTTTATTATCATAGTTATCATCATGCATGATAAAACTTCATGTTTGCATTGACATTTGTCTAAAATATGATACCTAGATATTGTTTAGTGTACCAAAGAATGAAATCTGTAATTTAAATATGAATCTAACTATGAATCTCAATTAAGATATTTTAGTCCACTGTTTATCAACGATAATGGATTATAAAAGTCACAATATATAACCTACTTAATAACAGAATGTGTCAAAACCACCATGTGGTGCGTGTGCTTTTTTAAAAAAGACAGACAGCCACTCTGTTTGCCATCATTTTGTTTTGCAATTATTTTTGTAAGAAAGGTGAATTCCTCTGGAAGCAGTACATCTTCTGCCCTGCAGCTAGTTCAACATGCAGTTATTTTATTTCTCTAGATTATGTTGCTTGTGCTTTTATACTGGAATCGCACTGCAGCCTTGGCTGTCTGAAATTACTACATGAGTGAAAACAGCTTTGTAGCAGTAATTACCTAAGCCTTGTCAGATGTTAACAACAAGACTCTTTGCCAGTAGTAACCAAGGTAATTGTACAATTCCATTTTATATATTAAATGATTAATAGAAAACCATTTTAATATGCTATAAACTGATATATCTTATAAAATAACTGAAGTTGTTTCTGGTTATTAATGGGTTCTTTATTTTCTGAACGTGGTTAATTAAATCTTTTCCCTTCCATGTGCAATCATATATGCATGTATGTGTGTTTGTGCTATATTCTGACATGAAGGGTTTTATGCATTGAGGGATACCAGATGGCTTACTCACACATACCTGAGTTGCTGCATGCTGTCTGGAGACTAGACCCAGGCTATGCACTTTTGACAGAACATTATACAGAGACCAGTAAAATATTTTTTGGTTTACATAGGTGTAGGAAACATAATGACTTGACTTGTTCCACACCCTCCATCACAATCTGTTTTTAAATTCTCGCAAGTGGAACCAATAACCAACATCCCCAAGAACCTGTAGATTTGTCTCTAATTAACTGCAATATTCCTCTTCCACAAGTAAGTCTCCAGAAAAGGCTTTCCTCTGTTCTAATGTTTATTTGGGCTGTAGGAGAATGGGGACAGAGGAATGGAGCAAAACATTTTAGCTTTTTGTCAGTTTGACAAATTTTAATGTGTACATGTTATAATAATCTTAGATCTACATATTTGGAAGTGATTTGATCAACATTTCTTTCAGAAATGTATTCTGCTGTGAGCACTGATCATGAGATGGGAAGTCTGAATGAGAAAATTATGCTTCTGAGCATATTAACCATTAGAAGCATATTAATATTATACAATTTCATTTTTGGGATAAAAATCAGTGTTCCATCATAAAGACTTATGGGTTCAAAATAAACAAGGATTTATTTTTAAGTAGCATTCCTTGTGTAATATTTTGGGGCTTTAAATACTTATTTAATTTTTATCAGCATTGCCTCTTATTTTGTTTGCAACATTATAAAGTTAAATGAACACGACATAAGTCAGCTAACTTCTGCCTAGATTGATTCTTAGGTATTTTGTTTTCAATATTTACACTGATATTTATAGAAACTACATATATCTTTTCTGAAAAAGTTCAATTTAACTAAAAAGACACAGACTGTGGTTTTGTCTTTTTAAGATGTGCTAATGCCAAATCGGTACAGAACTACAATCACAGACTGTGTAACATTATGCATAGTAGAATATATTTGTACACTTGTGCATTTTAAAAATTTTAAATGCAGATTTTAATTGGCTTAATTGGGATTTATTTTGCTCTTAGGGCTCATGCCTTGAATGGTAATGATAAAGCAGAAGGTTGAATGGGATAATTTGCAATGCTTCATTCTGCCTGAATATCCTGCTTTAGGGCTGTCAGAACACAGTAATTAGCCTACGAGATGCTGGAGAACAAGAACCTTTGGAATTTTATGTTTACCTCCATACCCCTATTCTTTCACTGGCAAAATGTAACCCTCTGAAATCTGCAACCTCTTTGAATAGAAAACGGCAGGGATTTCAGATTTTTCTTATTGCTCATTTTGTGTTGTATATTGTGTTGTATATTGCTGTTTTTTGTGTTTTCAGGAAGGGTAAAGATTCTAAAGAGTAAATGTTGATCATTTCCAAATTGCCACATTGATAAGGTGAAACACATTTTGAAATTAATTCACATTGAAATTAACACAAATCAATGTTAGTTTTAATTTAGTAAATTAAATAAATAAAGTCAACACTTGAGAATTCCAGGATCAATAACTTTTAATGCCATGTCATGACTTATAAATCATTTTCAGCTTCTGAAATTTAAGCTATCTTGAAAATACTCTTTGTCATGAATATCTTTATTTGATGAATATTTTCAGTGTTAGGGTTAAATTACACATGTGTAATTTTGCCAGATATAGAAATTAATTTGCATATAATACAAACAGCCAGAGCAATCTCCTCTGTTGAACAGCAATTCCACAACATTTTGGTCTGTAAAGTGCTTATTTAAATTTCAATATCTTATGTTAGAGGGATGTTAAGCAGGATTTGCTGAAAGTGACATTTTTGAGTCATTTTTGTTAATACACAAAATGCTCTCCTTTTGGTTTTGTGCCTACTTTCAGTTCCAAAGGTGTGAATATGTGAACTTCTGCTTATTATTTGCTCCCATTCCCTTAGCCCGTACTACATTAAGACCACTGATGTAGTAGTTGCTGTATGGTAATTTACTGTGCATTTTTTTGTAGTGTAAAAAATTAAACATTTTATCAATTAACCATGAAATAAAACAGTTCTGATGAGTTGAAACTGGGTAGTTTTGAATTGTGAAGTCTGCTTTTGATTACTAGTTCAACCATATTGGTATTGAGAATATTGTGTGATGTTCAGGAAACCAGATGGACCTAATTGTGCATCATGTCAGTACCTTTATCACCAGAAGTTCTGTTTAAGTGAATTTTGCACAAGAATACAAGTAAGACTTGTACCTAATTTTGTCACTTATTTCAAATTTGTTTAGAATGGCTAAATAGCACCACACTGCAGTATCATATTTCAAAATAAGGTTACAGTTCAGCTGTAACAAAATAATCTGCTTTATTGCAAAACATTTTATTTCAAGCTATCAAAGAAAATTTAAATGGTTAAATATTATCATTCAGAGTCTCAGAATCCTTTTTTTTAATTTCACCTTTGATATATTAAAAGATTTGTGCCATAAATGTAATGCAGATTTTTTGTATTGGTCATGTGATGCCTGAAATGCACATAGAGATAAAATGCCTTCACATTGTGGTGATTTCCAGGATTTGTTACCTCTTCTCGTGCTAATGAATTGTTTTTGTAAAAAAACAGTCAATCACTGTGAGCGATGGGTTTTCAACAAATTTTACATTAAATTGTAATCCAATCCCTGATGTTATGATGCATGTTGAATTTTCATAAAGCATTTCAATTATTTCTGTCTTGTATGCTGGCCAGGAGTTTTGCTTTGTTGCTCAGATTGAATGAACTCTCCACTGACTGCACTCTTGTGCTGCTCTTGTCTGTTGCGGCAGAATTCTGTCAATTTTAAACCTCTGCTGGTATTTGCTTTATCATGAAGCAGAATTTGACAATGCCTTTGAATACTGAACAATGGTGGTTTTATTCTGTTCTCATTAAATTGTATTTATTTTAATTTCATTGCAACTTTCTACTATTGAAAACCTCAAAATGATAATCGCTGTAACATTAGAAATGTTTTCGTTACATTTTTGTGTCTGATAGATTTTAAACATACAGGTGAATGAAACTAAGTGCTGTCAAATTTTACATTGTGCTTATTAGTGCATTTTAATACTCTTCAAGTTTTATGTAATGGATCCCTGCAGTGTTTAGATGTAGTAATTAAAATGGTCAAACTTTCAACGTCAAAAGTTTATTTTGGGGTTGAGCAGTTTAACTTTATTGTAGTTTAAACAGGGCTGTCATTGCTAAACTTATTTTAAATACTGTTATACTGATGTGTATATTTTTGTTCATATTTTAGGAATATAATTCATTGGGGTGGTGGGTAGGAGAAATGAAGGGAACTATTGGCTTGGTGCCTAAAGTGTACCTAATGGAGATGTACGACATTTGAGAAGGCCTGGGTAAGTACATTTTAATTGAATCTGAGTATAATAGACCATAAGTACTTTATTCCAGTATCATTTATATAGCAAACATTCTTGTCAGGGATTCATCCTGTAGTTCTAAGATGTATTGTTTCTGGGGAGGGTTATATGTTTTGGAGGCAGACTTCTGAATCTTCATGTTGTGAACTGTCAAAATATTTCCCAAGGAATAATTTACTGAATGAGAAAAAGAACTGATATGGGGTCTGTTTCTGCATTTTATTGATTTAATGCACTTCTTTTACTCAGTGTGGCTAAATGAGGATATTTCACCTGTCAAATATTTCTGAAAAATATCTTCATGAAGAAATACTCTATCTGTACCACACAGATTGCATCAGATTGACCTACTTTTACAAGAAACTAACTCTTCTTTCCACTCTTGCAGCAATACATTCAGACTAGTATATTCCTTTGGGATACTAAAAATGTACAACATAAAGGAGAAACATGTTACATAAAATGAACACTGGTGTAGATGCTGATTGCTTGCTTTTTTTTCTAATTTTCAGTAACTTGTGGAATTACTCTTTAGATCTCATGGTACATTGTTTATTTCCCATTAGCAAAACATTCCCACAAGAGTACAAAAGGAGAATGGTATTATACTGTACTTGACTCACATATTACACAACAACAACAACAAGATTCCATTTATTGAGCGCCTTTCACGTCGGGAGGACGTCCCAAGGCGCTGTACAGTTGAAATTAGAGTAAAAACATGCCACAAAATAATTTAATGTTTTGGAATGTTTATCAAAATTACACAAAGTAATCAGGTGTGTGAGAAATAAATCCGGTATTATAGCATATTTTATCTAATCCTGTAATTTTGTGTAGCGATTCATGTTCCCATTTGGAAAAAAACATTTACTTCGCAAAAATGTTTATGAACGTCATAGACGAATAAATTATTATTAGAATATGGTCTGTGGCTTATTTATTTCATATCGATCCAATTTGTTTTCCAGAGAAAGGATTCGGCCAAATTTTTACAGTATACTGTAGATTTACTACAGTATACTGTAAGAAAACACTAGATGGCAGTAGTTTTCTATTGCTTCATAACTGTTTTCTTCTTTTTTTCTACCAACCCCCCTCCCCCCCACTGTCACACACACTAGAACCCACCCACCTATAATGAGGGCTTGTGTGTACAAGAGAAAAAAAATTAAAAAATGGATTAAAGGCAGGGCAAGGCATGACTATCCTTGGCCAGGAGAGGGAGTTCTCATCCACCACTATGGTGCTTCAGCTCCGCAATTTATTTTATAACAAAGATAACATCATCTTATTAACAATATAATCTATCCTCTTGCCACAGATGTGAAATCGAGAAGCAGTTAAGTGTTTAATTAAATTATTTCCTCGTTATTGTAATTATCTTTCATCATTTCACTGATACATTATTTTTATTTTTCTCTGCTTATGCAGCATTATGAACTATAGCTCCCAGGGATTTCACACTGGTTTGGTATAATGACATCTTTGCTAAATATGTAGCTAATATGTTTGCACTGGTTTCTAAGACTTGTCATTATAACTTAATTAATTGTATTTTTTTTAAAAACTTTAAAATGTAAGGTGTGACTACTGTGTATTTTCCCCTTCCCAGTCTGTCTAGAAGTAACTGTAAGCACTGTTTTCTGTCTTGTCTGTTCTACTTTATTGAATCTTGTTCTAATGTTCCAGTCTGCAGATTTTAAGGTTCAAATAAAGTTTAATTGTGTGCAAACTGTTGTTATGCTAATAATTTAAATGCCTGCTGTGTAACTAATGAAATTACTGTGTTATGATTAATTTGGAAACTGGTATGTTGATTGTAGTAATTGAACACAACAAGGTGAAGTAAATGATTACAATACCATATGGCCTGTTAATCTCAAAATTTAAAGAGGATGAACTATTTTCTTGCAAAGGTTTTATTTGTATGCTTGTATTCTTTACAAATACAATAATGCCAAATTGTAATTCTATTCAAAATATTTTGCTATCATAAAGTTTTGCTTTGACCATACTTGTGTAAGTTGGCAATTGCTTTTAACTTTTGCTGTTGAATATTGTTAAACTCAGAATTAGCAAATGTTTGTTTTAAAATCTGCTTTGTTTAACATGATTCCCAAATAAAATACTTGTATTGAAGTACCTCTATGTTTTACAACTGACTGATTGCACTTGTTTTCTATGGATGATAATTAATGCCACACATAATGCAGTTCTGCACATCTGTTTGAGTGTTCTTGCTATAACTTGTGAGGAATATCCTGTTCAAAGCAATTACAGAAGCAGTAATATTAGGTATTGATAGAACCAGATCCAGTAAAATTAATCATTCTACAGAAGATGCACATTGTTACTAACACCTAAAAAAAAGTTTGTAATGTTTATATATTAAACAGTCATTTCACTATTTCACAAGTTTTTTTAAAATTCCTAGTTTTATTTAATTCCCTTGGTTAATTGACTTTAGAATTATCTGTATAATACAATGTTAAATATATTTATCATGCAGAGTATCACACATATGAAAAATGTAACAGATAATAAAGCTTAGAAGATCAAAGAGAAATCAAGAATTATGGTTTCCTGGAGACAATTGTGTTCAAAGAGAAGTCTAGGTTTCTGGTGTTATTGAAGGGGTTAACAAAGAATAAAACAGTGCCAGGCTTATTAAGACATTTTAATTGTATTTTTCCTCTTAATTCATCACTGCCAACAGTTACAATTTTCAGGGAATGAGTCTTGTTTATACAAATCGCACATCATTTATTATTTTGTGATTTTAATGCCTCTCCATAAAGTACATGCTACAAACAATTACTAACTAGCACTGGGTATAATTTTATAAGCAGCATTTAGTTATGAAACTAGAATGGTTCAGTCATTTTCTGTTTAATGGAAATGTACATTATGTAATAAAGATGTGATGCACCAAGAAAGTTAAACATTGACTCTACATGTGGCAGAAGGTTCTGTTTTCTTTTCCAATTCTGAATCTTATTCCACCAATTTCTGAATGGCTCAGTAAAGATAAATCAGCAGTACGCTTAATTCTCAGCACAATTTGATGTGATCATATTTATTAGACTGGTATGCACTCTTGAGTTTAGACATTTTTGTCAAAGTAATTTAATTTCCTATTTGTTCTAGATAAATTGCTTCCATCTTGATCTATTTATTTATTTTCTATCAGAAAGTTATATTATGGTAAGAATTTTTTTGATTTTAAAAAGATTTCAATTTAATTTTTGAGTTACGCCTGCTGATATGTCATGAGGATTATGGCAAGAAAGCTCTATCAAATCAGATAAACTGAACCCAATTATGCATTCGCAGAATGAATTAAAATATTTGCAAAGCAAAAATGCAAGGGAAGCTGTTATACACAAATAAAAACTTGTAGAATATATAAGAGATATCGGCTCCCCCAAAAATAAAATGTTGTTTTCCACAATCATCCTAGTTTTGATTTTTCAATTTTTATAAAACTATAATTGAAGAAGATCTCTGATCAGTTTGATAAAGGTTATCACCACTTTGCTCCAAAGGAAGCTGTGCATTCTAAGGTAACTTACCTTAATATTGGTGCAGTAGTTATCTTATATTTTGCTATCGAGACATTGTCAGTCAGTCTCTTAATGTATTTCATTTGGAAGATTTTAGAAAATGTTAAATTGTAATGGGAGAATAAAATAAAATAGCAAAACTGTCACACTTTATTTACTATAGGACTGTTCTAATTTGTAAATCTATAATATGGCAAATCTATAATATAGAAATATTTTGTGTCTCAATGATCATTGTGTCATCTTATTAAGGAAGCATCTAGAGCAATCCAGAATTTCATTAGATTTATTGAATTTTGGATTTTTCAGATTAAAATAGCTTTATTTTAAATCTGAAATTCAGAGCGGGTCAAACATGATAGGTAATAGGTATTTTTCCTGGGTTTCTTTTTCCCTTTTTATGGGCCTGGTAATGGAACAATATATTAAGAACCAATTGAATAGGATGTGATGTAGTAAAGAACTGCAATGGTTTCTATACCACAATATATCTTTCTTTAATGAATCTGACAATAGTGTCTACAGAGAAGTACAATGCCAATAAATGTTCTGGGGATAATTTGAATGACAGTGTCATGAATACTAACATGTAGTTATTATTTCATTACTATTAATACAGACGAAATTGCTGCAGATTTGAAAATTCTGTACTGTATATAGATTAGAATTCTCCTAAACAAAGAGAGGTTGTTTCCAAGAATTGAGTCAAATGTTCATCTGTAGTCTGCAGCACACAAAGTAATACGTTGGATCCCTGTGGTTGTGACTCGCGGTGCTGATCATCTGTTCGTTCTTCAGGGGGCTTCTCCAAACAGCAGTACATGAGGTGAGGAGGATAAGCTTGAGAAGGAGAGGGTGTATTTGCAGCTGAAGAGCAGTATTAACAACAGATTTCAAGGAAATGCCAACCTTTGCTATTGCAATGAAATTATCAGTGCAAAATGGTGTTGGGAGCAGGAGCGAAGTCTTTGCCAGACAGATGGCACACCCTGCTGTGTATTTGATTGAAAAAGAAGGGTAACATTTGCAGGGATGTCAAAAGGATGGTGATCAGCTGAACAAATTGGTCTCAGAAGTGCACCATTGCAGGAATTAACCCTGCTGCAGGGTACATCAGGAGCTGTATTTCAAAACAGCCCCTGTTTGCAATTTTTTTAACTTTCAGGAATATTCGTCACAATAAATGTAGGATAGTGGGAAGGGGGAGGTGGGGGCAAGACTACTTGAGATCTATTGGGCACTATTGGCATCCGATGTAATTTATTACAGTAGCACTTTTTTTTCATCTCCAAAGGCAAGGAGGAAATTTTTAGAAATGATCCAGAATTGTATTGCACTTCAGTGGTTCGGGTCTCAGATGCTTACATTAACTGGAATTCATGTGCGTTTGCAGGGAAAAATGGAAACTGTACACCAAGTAATCACAGAGGTGCAATTGAATAAAGCAAGATATTAACAGCAAAAATCTCATCATACCTACATTCTGCTCACAGTATAAACATAGTGCAGTTGGAATGGGTTTTGCTCGTCTCAGCTGGCAGGCTGATTCCGCTTCAGTAAAGACAAGGTACGGAAATGTCCTTTGGGTGACATTCAAAACTCGATATAAATCCTGTGCTTTATGAGACTGCAGTGCAATAAATTACTTAGCCTAATTGTAGATGTAATGAATTACCATAATTAGTCATGGGCTACATTAAATTAATCAGCATGGTACATTATTTTGCTAAATTACATCCTTGCCTTCAGAAGCCACCAGTGCAGCAATCAGTGTTTCTTCCAAGAGGGAATGATGCCATAATGAGAAGCCTTTCTGCTCCTAGAACTGTGACAGGATATGAATTTTGATAGGAGACAGGAAGAGTTTTAGACACTGGAGCCTCAACTTCTGCCTGGAGTGTCTGTGGTAGTTAATGATACTTCAGTCCTCCTGCAGGGAGCAGTGGACTGTGTCTGAGAAGGCTGGAGAAGATTCTCCTTACGTGGAAAGAATTCATACTTAGATGAAGCTTTAAAGCAAATGATGCTGCTAATAAAGCATAGGAAAATGAAGGGTTGGGTGGTGCAAACAGGAGTATTTTGTGGAAATGAGAGAAAGAAGAAGCTACCGAGCACAACTGTAAAAATTTGCATGAGGATGCAAAAAAAAACTTTTAATGTGGTAATTTATGCTTTTCCTGGTGGGAATCTGTTTAATTAGTGCTATGAGGTATTGGATTTCAGCTTATCATGCACATTGTTTTCCAGCTGTACAGGCAATTGCCAAGTTTATAATGGCTTGACCCTGTTCTGTATAACAGCAGTAAATTGCAACACATACATTGAGTGGAGGCAAAGGGCTCATTCTGTTGGGTTTTTTTGCTGTCACATCTTCCTGGGCTGGGGATTAATGGTGTGATGTTAAACATCTGTCCCTTGTCTTTTGGGGAGGTAAACAGAGTGAGGCAATCTCGTGCCATCTACTAAAAGGTCTTGGATGGGAGAGTCCATCCCACAATTTTCATCGTGGCATCTAGATGTATTACTTTTTTATGCCAAACCCTGGAGCACTAAGGGACCTATAAATAGGCTGCATTTGGCAGCTTGGAGAAGGAGAAAAGATTTCCTCAAGACATTAGTTTTGCTAAAAGATTCATCAGTACTTGCAGTCAAGAAATAAATCTTTTACACATGTCCATCTTTATAACTAGAATAGTCAGCTTTCTAAGTTTTATTTCAGCCGTAGGTGCAATCATTACATTGAGCAGTTTCACAGGAGGACAAAGAAGAGAATCAGTCTACTTTCCGATTTTTAAATGCAAACTCTGGATGATGCATGACACAGGAGTAACGTGTAAGTTGGTACTATGGTGGTACAAAACAGAAATAGGCTAAGCAAACTACTTTGGTGATGTTGCAAATTTAATCTGGTTTCCTGGGGGGGGAAATGATCTAAATGGCGTTTTTGTATAAATGTACATAGGTATATTTTGTTTGGGCTTTTAGCATTAAGTATACTTTTAAGTAGCGATCATTATTTTTAATGGCAGCTTTCAAATCCGTAGGTGCAATCACAACAAACTTTAGAGTGGATACAATACATTTGAAAGCAGCAAACGAGACCACAAACACACAAATTGTAGGATATAAGCAGTTAGTGGATTAGACTGTTTATTTAATTACATATTAAGTGCAATTTTAAAAAATGCAGTCAACTGATAAAATCAATCCAATCGATTTTCCCATGTGCCTAATTTAATTTATAAGTAATACATCAGGACTGTGGAGTTTTGTTTAGAATAATAATACTTGCATCTGATAATTGTGCCTTATCACATCTAAA